GCCAACATATAATATAGGAGCCTATATTTTAGAGTACAGCACCATGGGGCAGCTTCCACATATTATATTCACCTCACTTCAAGGGATTTCTTGCTGCCCGCCACGTTATGGAGTCATCTGGATGGGAATACTCACCCTTGTCTTGTCGTTGTTTTCTACAGAGTGCAGTGAAAGAGCTTGTAAGCAATATTGTAAGCCTCACTAGCATAAGTCTACCATTTGTCACAATTGTCCTTGGTATATCTTCTTTTTCTACCTGAAAATTTTGCCCCGAGCAATCCAGGAATCCTGGATGTGCACTTTGCTTGTGCATATCAAATCTACCACACATGCACAAATCAGCTGTCCAGAGCAAATACAGGAAGTGCAAAGCTTCTTGGAGGCATCTGGCCCGCTCTGCATATGATATACACATTTGTTGCATGGAAAAGACAAGGCAGCACCCTTATGAACATGCAATAAATGTGAGAGCATATGCAAATAGTTTTGCCTGGGTTAAGCAATCTTATGTTCCAGGCTTGTGATCTCACATGCCCGGAGGCATGACTGCCACCAAAACTCCGGGGAGAGTGAGATGGCTCCTGTCAGTGTGTCACTTTTTGGCCAATGCTGGGTGAGCTCTTCATATGGAGTCTTTCCTGTCTCTTTGTAAAGACACAAGCTCTACACTGGATCTTGCCCTAGATGGCCACCTGCCCTTTCAGATAATTTTGTGATAAATACCTCTGAAAAGCTAGTCTCAATACCTTGACAAGCTCTGGTGAAATCCCAGACTATGTAAAGATCCAAGGAATAGTGGTTGGAGTTACAGTTCTACTGATAATGAGAGTTGCAGTCCATTGTACAGAACCTCTAGAAGATCGCACCAACATTATTTAAGTGCTTTAATAGGTTTCAAATTTTAACCATCAGGAGTTGAATGTTGTGGGCACAGTTTATGTGCATATTGCAGAACTTGTGAGTAAAACCTTGAATAGAAACTTTTTTTACCCCCTAGTTGTCTTAGAAATCATGTTTCATTAGAGCAGTGCAAAATGTTCACAATGAAACACCAGACCACACAAAAGTCACCTGGTGTGGAGTTTTGTTACAAACTAGTAACACAAACCATATTTATCAAAAGATTTGCTTAGCATTATGCAACTCCTGAATGACCTGAACTCAATTTTAAGCATATATGGTGTGTGGCTTTGGATCAGAATCATGCAAAATTCATAGCTTTGCATGGTTTTGATGTGAGGTGTGAATAAACACCAGGTGAAGTACAGCAATTCCAATTGAGTTTCAATATGATGAGGATTCAATCCTCACCCGGTGTTAATCGGTGTAGCTCCATTGAAGTCAGTGTTTTGTCCCATTGTTGAGCTACACCAATTTACTGTAGCTGAGGAGCTGATTGAAATTTTCAGTTTGCTCGAACCTGAAAGTCAAAGACTAACTCAGTGGGTGTGAAAGTATTTGGATCAAAATGAAAGAAAATGTTTGGACAAATGCTCATGGAGTAAAACTAGTTCTATGTTTTCCAGCTGTAAGGTCGCAGCCCTGAAGTATATATTCCAAATGATATAACCATAAGTTTAAATGTTTCATTACTTTCGTTGCTAACCAGTAAAATGACTTTTGCTAAATCTACTTTGTGATAAAAATTTAAAAGGAAGAAAAGGTATTTCTACTCAGGCCCTATAATAATCTCAAATAAAAAAGGTTTTGGAGATAACTAAGAAAACTCATGACCTTGAGTGCAAAGGAATGCCTAAGAAATCTATATATTGTATTTGTACCTATACATTTAATATATAAATGTAAAGGCAGCAAAGGCATGCAAGTACTACACAGGAATACAAAGATAATCCTAAAAATAACCTTTTCCAGGCCAGCCCTGGAGAAAACTGGAAAGTGACATCTTTAACTTGTGCTTTTTTTATTGTTTACTTTCCAATGATTCCATCAGTTCAGACAACTTTCCATTGTCTCCCCCTTTTCCCTGAATATACTAAATAAAGAGAAGATAGAAAGCTAGTAATGCAATGGACTGTGTCTCTGAAACACTGCTAGTGTTTTCCACAGTATCAGAAGGTGTCACTGGCTGCATCCATACTCGTAAGTCAAGACAATGTTCTTTGATCCATTATACTGTTAAATTGCTACAACTGCCCTTGCATGTTTTTAGCCACTTAGCACTGCCAAACAAATTCTGGGCACAGTCACCATTGCCAGATTGGATATTTGTGCAGTCCTATCCTTGTAGAGTAAGATAATTTAATAAAATGGTCACAGTCCAGGACATGACGGCTATCAGAATCATTCTGGCATGCTTAAATTACTAGTGTAGATATAGCCATTGTGCCTTATTCTTGGCCCACCAGCCACCTTATACATTTAATTTTTTCACCATTCTTTCAAATTCTTTTGTTTGATTTAGGCTTATTTAATTTATCTAACAACTTCTGATCACTATATGGCATAAACAGCATCAATTCAGATGTGTTGTCATATACATTCGTTAGTAAGACAAATTTTAGGATGTACTTATATCTTTTGGAATCTACCAAAAAAAAACCCCCAAACAAACAAACAAACCCTCCTCATGAGACTAGTGCTCCTTGGCTGTCATACAGACTAATTCAGGATACTAAATATAGGTGTGATTACAGTGGACTATGGAAGAAAAATGAAGATGGATTTCTAGTATGAAAAAAATCCTCTTAGCAAATGTGTTAAAACTAAGAAAGGATGATGAGGAAATGTTTTTTTCTCAGTGGAACAAATGAAAACTCTATTCGAATTGACACTGGTAAAACACACTATCAATGTTTTCTCACTTTGTCAATGTTTACATTTCTTTTACCTTTCTTAGGTAAAAAAGTGTTTAAGGTCTTATGAGCTGAACCTTTAACAACTTGTTATACCATTGCTTTTGCTTAATAACAAGAAATAAGAGGAAAAATGTATACAAGTATCAAAGCTCTTATGGGAATTGTGGAAATAAATACCAAAAACTTCCTACAACTTTTGAAATCTGAACTATGTCTTGGCTTTACAAATGACTTGTGGTGAACTACTTTTTTTTTCTAAAATAAACAACTGACAGTTGTTTCTAAAATAAACAACTGTTTTATGGCAAAAGGGGGAGGGGGGGGAGTAGGAGAGGAGCATTTCACTTTCCATGAGCATATTCCATTTGGTCACTTTTTATTGGAAAAATAATAGTAAAGTCTTTCCAGAGAATGCTTCCATTACAAAATTTAGAAGATCCTGTCACAGTCACAGCCTATGCAGTCCTTTAAACTGAGTGCAGAGTTGAGATGATGATGAGGTGGGAGAGCGGCGTGGTGCAGGATCATTTCCAGGTGTAGAACTGCTTGTATTTTGCCCCTATCTGAGAACACATTAAGAAAAAGTAACAAGCTCCTTTTCCTCCCTATTTAGTAATCCTATTCATCCCTGGCAACACTTACGCTACATGTCATGATTGTTAAACTGTAGTAGGTTAGATAAATAAGTCTGAATGTTGTAAGTTTGAGAAAGAAATCTGTTGTAAGGCTGGAAAGTCTCAAACTCATCTCTTTTTCCCAGAGTGGGTGAATGAGGGAGAGCTGTATCCTGTAGAGCGGGTGAAATTAAAGTGAGCTTAAAAGAGTGAGAAGAGTGTAGAGAGGAATTGCCCAAGACATTCTGTTAGAACAGTAACCACTAGAGAAGAGGGATGATACAGTGGTTGACGAAAGGTCCAGACTGAGAGCTAGGAGATCTATGGCAACCTGAGGTAGTTCTTGAAAGGTTGGCTGCTTGCCTGTCTGCCTGAGGTTTAAGCCCTAGACCTGTCAAATTCTGCATGCATCTCTGTGCTATTTTGTGTTGGGATGTGTAGTTCTGACTCAAAGCCAGAGGCCTGTATACTCTCCACCTGTTGAAATATTTGGGGTATTGTCAGGCATTGTAAACTTTTTCTTGGGGTGAGTTCATAGAGAGCTTCTTTTGCTGGTACTCCATACAAAAATATAATTTTAAGAGGTGTTGTGAAAAAGATCACTGACTGAAATGTTAATATCCTGCCCAAATGGATGACGCCTGCAAGGTAAAATAAATGCATTTAAAGAAATCAGCTATCTAAATCAGTCTATTTCAAAAAAAGTTTATTTCTGTCAATAAGGCAGAATCTCGTGAATATACACACTTCATAATTTGCACATAAGGTTGGCAGTTTTTCCCCACTTTTTGGCAATGATTTAGTAGCTGTAGCAAGGGCTCAGATTACTAGGACTATATTATATTACACAATATACTGCAGCATATTTACAGAAAAACCTTATTAATTTGTATTAATATGAACCCACCCACTGTAATTTACTACTTTTTTTATATATGCCACAGCAAGGAGCATGTTTCAATCCAGCATCCTGAGCAAGCTGTGAAGTGGTATGATGATGGAAGTGGGTAAGGGACCAGATGTGAGAAATCTTCCATTTATATCCAGATGAGGATATTTTCCTCCATGCTATTGGATTAGTAGTCAGGATACCTGTGTTCTGCTCCTGAGTCGGGGAGTGATTTGCTGTGTCACTAAGTCACATTTGTTGTGTCTTTCTTAGTCATTTCTGCAGCAGTCTGTGTGAAATGACAGTAAGACTTTGATGCCTTTGATATCCTTTGCTTTGAGGTTGTGTATACGTTTTGTATGAGGTGGCATTATTTGCTCTTAGAATGCATCCAGTGACTGCATGGGAGTTTGGTTGGAATCAATGAAAACTGGGAGGAAGGAGAATGAGAATTTTGTTCTTATATCTGAAAGACTGTCTGCATGGAATTTGAGACCAAATCCAAGTTAAGTTTAATAGAAAGCTGTTGTCTTTAGCTAAAACAAAGTGGTTCATTTGGAAAACATTTTGTGTTCATCTGGACAATGATTAAGAATAGGAAAGAACAGAACCTGGCCATATATTATACTCCCTGATTTTAATGAGATGATATTTATTCCATCGAAAAAGGTGTTTCTGGCTAATTATATGATTAAAAATTTGGCTTGGCATTATCTGAGCTTGTGTAGCAAACTTGACCTTGCATTTTATAGGATTTTAAATAGGATTATTATGAAGGAGAGAGCAACTAATTAAAAGATGGCAGGTTTCCAGTTTCCAGTTGATGACCTGCTGTTGCTGCTGCTTGTTGCTGTCCCCAGAGTGAGGGCAGCAATATGATCCTCTGCGCCAGGATGTACAGAATGTTCTGTGGTGTTCGTCAGGCGCTCTATGGAAATTTAGCAGGATCTTGCATCCTCAGTGCTTTTATGCACTCTAGCTGGGGAAACCTGCCAGAAAGCCAAACCAAACATTTTTATGTGTTTCCTCAGGCCCTACCTCCACATCTTGTTGAAAAATTAAAGCACACAATCACGGGTGGGTCTATTGAAGCAAACAGGCACTATTATTCCAGGTTTTCAAGCTTGTTTTTCAGTCTATGGATCTACTCAATTAAGGAAGAGCACATCTACATTCTTTTCTGAAATTTCTCATGAAAACCCCAGTCCAGGAACACTTTCCAAATAACTCTCAGTGACTGCAACAAGAAATCACAGAAGGTAGAGATTTTGCTAGAAGAATAAATATCCCACAAATTTAGCAGTATAGTTTTATTGATGAAACAGAGTTTCAGTTGAAAAGGTCCAGTAACACCGTTCCCCACTGCTCATTTCATTCCTACTGTTTTAATTCATTATAAACTTAGAACAAAGTCTTGTCAGAAAATTTTTAGTCATTGTGGCTAGATAGGAATTTAAATCCTACAACTAAGTCTCAGCTGTGGCAACTTGGAGTTCAGCGTGGGTTAGCCACCTAAATATTTGCCCAAATTTCCATATGAAGTTTTCAATCCACACCTTGCTCTGTTAATGCTATATGTTTATTTATCATCTCTGGACCAGCTAATTGCAGCTTGTGCACACATCCTCAAACAAGCTTTAAATCATAATTCTTGGCTGCCAGGTAGGTGTCTTTAACCCCTGCATAGCAATGCCAAGCAGTAAGCTATTTTTTCTGATGCAATTTCATTGCATTCTTTCTGAATCCTCATCTTTCATCTAGAAAGAACATCCTGGCTGGATAGGAAGTTAGTTCAGGCTATATATTTAGTTCATGTTATAAAAATTAGTCTTAAACCTTTCAAGACGTGCATACCTAAGAGCAATTAAAGTGATTTTATTTCCATACCCTTTTAGGAGATTAAACAGTAGATGCCAATTGTGCCAAAATGCTTTTCTAGTACAAACTGTGTAGAAGCCAAAAAATACAGGACATCTTCAGCTACAGGCATTGCCAAGTGCAAGCATTCAAAATAAAGCTGTAGCATGATTGGGTTGCATGGCACCTTTTAATCTGAGGACAAATTTGCAGAATTTCCTGGCTAAAAGCCCTGAGCTACATAGTTCTGCATGACACAAATGTCTGAAATTGCTCCATGCTGGGATTTGAAACCTACTATTTTTTGGGGTGAAAGAGGAGGAGGGCTGCCTTCTATTCCTTTTGTACCAAAACTCCTTTTGTATCTAAATATTACACAGCTCTGAAATGTTTATGATAAAACTTACTCTTTGCATTCTTACTGTCTTATACTGTGTTTTCCGAAGGCTTATCTTTTTTGACTTGTTGTGACTTGTGGACAATCCAAAATGATCAAAACCTCAATTCACTTGTATATATTAAATCAAGAAGAGTTTCATAATTACATATAAATACATATACAAACATAAAAATTTGCATAGGAGGCAGTGAGAGAGGGGAATAAAATAATTTGGTTTTATTTCTCTGGGTGTAGGAGTGGAGACGGTCCAATCTTTGTCTAAAAGGCGGTCTCCCTAAAATATGCTTTATACTATGAGCTGAGCTCTGCCCACGTGAATACTTTAGAACCCTCAGTTCGCAACTACCTAGAGGCTCCTGGAACTATTAAAGTCTCATTTTGTTCCTTCAAAGTGGAAAAAGGAGCCTGGCCCAAATTAAGCAAGGAGTGCTGTTCCCAAGACATACCAAGCTTTATGGGACTTCAAGCACAGTATTTCAAACTCTTAATTCAGAAGTATAGGGGAAAGCAATCGCCACTATATTATGCCTTTTTTTCTAAACAATCCAGTATGTTTTCTTTTTGTGTAAATGTGATGCAGCTGGTTCTACTACCATATTTAGAGTAAATATCCTTTTTGGTAAACTAAGGGCTTATTGAGGCAGTGCAGTAATAATGTGTTAAAGGATTTAATCTGCTTTTTGAACAGTTACTAAGCATATAATTTTTTGAATGAATGATATGAGTATGTTGGACAAAATCTTACCAATGTAAAAGATCAGAAATAAACCAATGTTTACATTTTTAATCCACTACTTATGAAGGAGTTGTGGGTTTTGAAGGAATCCTGACTTTGCTTGAATTTAGTGAAGTAAGATCTAAGGGGTCTTCTGTGATGAATTTCCTCAGGAGTTCAAATGAAAATATGGAACTTTCAGCCAGAACCTATTGCTTAAATTTAATGAATTAATTAGACACAGAAAAATGTTAAAATGTATGGAATGAGAAGGACTTTCTTCCCTGCTTTAACAATGTTAAGAAAATGGACTTGTGTTATGGTTTCTATCATTGTTGCAATCTGTTTTAAACATCATTGTATCCTACTTGCTTTTTTCTGCATCATTTTGGAATAAATAGTATTCTTCAGTACAGATGATGGCTGTTACAGTTTCTTTTCTTCAAAGAGATTTCTTGCATATATCCCACCATGCAGAATCAAGTAAACTTGGAAGAAAATGCTTCTAGAACTCTTTTCTGTGAGTCTGCTTAACTAAAGCCAAATTAATTTATATGACTTTATATGATTTTATATGAGCTTAAGTAGAAAACTAATGTTAACTTACAGGGAGCCTTTGGAGTCTTTTAAGGAGACCAAGGGTGTATAAAACAAAAAGCTGAGCTCTTAATTAAATACTTTTTCAGTTATATCGGTATGACCATTGAGACCTCATTGCAGTCTTCGACATCTTCATGAGGGGAAGAAGAGGGGCAGGCACTGATCTCTTCACCCTTGTGACCAGCGATAGGACTCAAGGAAATGGCATGAAGCTGAGTTGGGGAAGGTTTAGGTTGGATATTAGGAAAAAGTTCTTCACCCAGAGGGTGATTGATCCCCAGAACAGGCTCCCCAGGGAAGTGGTCACAGCACCAAACCTGATGGAGTTCAAGAAGCATTTGGCCAATGCTCTCAGGCACATGGTGTGATTCTTGGAGTGTCCTGTGCAGGGCCAGGAGTTGGACTTCATGATCCTGATGGGTCCCTTCCAAATCAGAATATTCTATGATTCTATGATTATTGAGTTCATTTCAGATTGTCAAGCACTTATTTTAAACAGCCTGAAGACAATTTTGGTCCTCAGATTTGAACTGACAGGTAATGGACCTTTAGCTGGGTCAGATGGCAGAAAGTTATCCTTTTCTGCATTAGTCTGCATACTGCCATTGAAAATGGTCAGACTATTTATTCTTTTTTCCTGCCTCTAATTTACAGAAGTCTTCTCTGTCACAATGAAAAAGCTGCTGTGCAATATAGCTCTTTTCAGAGTACTTGATGGGCCTCTGGAACAAAGAATTGTGTCCAACTGGGCGTTTATCCTTCCAGGTGAATTTATCAGGCAGAAACATAGGAATGCGAGCAAAGTTTTGCGTTACCTGTTCAAGTTTTTTCATATAGCTACTATATATTCATAGTTTGTTAGGTGTATCTGAAGAGCAATTATGTTTTTTGTCTCTTTACTCTGCAGCAGATATTCCTTCAGAATGTTATTGCTGTAATGGCCAGACACCATCTTTCAGTTTCCAGCCTCAATTAATTTATGATCAGTGCTTGCTGACTTATTATTGTGCCAGACCTGTCTGTTGGCTTATATAACTATTCTGCTTTCCTGATGTTTACTTGCCCACCCCAAATTAATTTTATAAAGCTGCACCAGCAGAACTTTTTTACTTTCCTCCCCCTTGATAGGCTATTAATTCCTCTGGATATCTTAGTATACACCTGCTATAGTGATAAATTCATTTTCCTTGAAGACAAGCCATATACAGTATTGCAGATGAGGCCTCCCAAATCTTGCACAGTTAGACACTGAGAATCTGCTGCTCTTCCTCTGCTGTCATCTTAAAAAGCATTGCTTTTTGGAGCCTCCAGCAGTCATCTGATAGTCCAGAGCAACTCTACTGATTCTTTTCCAAATGAAGGTTTTAGTTATTAGCCTTCAATGCATGTTTTGTTATTTTCACTATTGAATATCATCTCATTTCAGTTCACAAATACCCAGTTCTTTCAGTGGATTTTCTTGTCCTCTTGTATGTTGATGTATGTCTCTTTGGGTTGCTGTTAGTGTTTTATGGCCAGGGCATAAATCAAAATAGTAAACAAAATCAATCCCTTGTGAAACTGTTCATAATGCCAATTCCCTCCTGGCCCTTTGTTTCAATTTTACACACTACTTTCTCCATTTTTTTGATATCTCCATTTTTATGTGCTGGGCTTCATGCTAACATATGCTTTATTTAGAGATTGCACCCTACTTGGCCCAAGAACAAAATCCAGATCAGCATCTTTCTCCCTGGCAGATATCTAGCAAAATAATTGAAAAACCCATTAGCAGACTTTTTATCTTCTTAATTAGGCCTAGTCTAAGTAGTGCATCAGTTTTTCTATTAGCTGTATCAGCAGAGGTGAGGTCATCATTCATGCTGGGTGGTTGTGGTTTTGGAATGGTGATTTCACTGGTTTATCCATAAATAATTTAGGGTATGTGTTTTTAAAATTTCTGGTTTATTTAGCACACTAAGTGAGAAAACATTCAAAAGACATCTAATTAAAAATTATGCTGAGGATCTCAACAATATACAGATGTTCCACGTTTTGGTCATGTATCATCCCAGATTTTGATGGATAACATAACACTCAACTAAACTGTAAGACTGAGACTATCTTGTCCTATACTGTCAGAGGAGCCAAGTCTGGGATAAACTGGGCTTTGCCTATTCTGAATAAAATTTTTTGTTGATGTTGTTTGGTTGTTAACAGTTCTTGTAAGGCAGGAGTGCATCAAGATTCTTCCTGAATACCAGGTTAACAAAAACCTTCAGAATTTGGGATATTGGTTCTGTCAAACCCACGATGAGTCTGCTTTGTTTTACGGTTGTGCCTGTCAGAGTGTACAAACAGCTAGCTGGCTACAGCTTCGGGTCTCTTATCCAGAACCATGCTGGGAAAAGCACCAAAATTAGGTCCAGCATCTGCAAACAAAAAATTCATAATAGATCATTCTTCACCTCTGGAATCCAGCACAGTGTCTGTTGCTTTCTTTATTAGTACCTCAGGCAGCTCAAGCAATACAAACAGCACTATTCTTTGCCTTGTCTAGAAATGGTTATAATATGGAGAGTTATAATGGAGAGTTTCATAGTGGGATCCTGTCTACAATGAAGATACAAATACACTTCATGTGAGCCAATGTTCTCAATCCTTCAATCACATACACCAGCCAGCAGCTCCTCTCACTGGCACAATAGCATTTCCCACCAGGGCAATGAGTCTTTCAGACTCTGAGTTTTCTTGCTCCAGTTTGACATTCACGTTTGGACTGAGACAGCTGAATCTGAGCAGGTTCCAGGGCCCATTAAACTTCATCATCTTGAGGTTCACTGGCATCATTTTTATTTAAAGAACCCCTGCACTTAAAAAAACCAAGCACGCATTCCACATGTACTAAGTATAACTTTCATCACTACGAGTATTTCCATATTAAAAATTTAAATTTATATTTGATTTGTGTTTTATGAAAGAAACTATTATATGAAGTTTCCATTTTGGCTAAGTGCGGTTTAATTCGTAACTTCTCAGAGGATTGTTACAGAAAGAGAAACAATAATGACAAATGGAAGGATTTGTTTATCTACATTGATTTAAAAATAAACAGGATCATAGGGCTGGCCATTAGTCTGAACTGGTCCTAAAGGACACAAAACCCTTTTTCTGGGTGGGTGGGTGGGTAGGTGGGTCTGGTTAGATTCAGTATGTCTAAGAAACTGTAGCTAAGATGAGTAGATGAAGTTGAATAATTAAAGAATTCATTTACTCTTTAGAATATCTGTATCTTGTACACACAGAATTTGGAGCTCTTCAAAGATATTCTGCCCTTCACACAACCACTTTGGTATTTAAGAACAAGGGCATGTTTCTATCCACAAAAGTTGTGGTCTTGAATGAAAATCAGGTTTATGTTGGAAGTTATTAGCTGAATCCCTAAAGGACATTTTTTTGGTGTGATTTCCATGGATTCAGTTGCAAAACACAGGTATGATTTATTTTTATTGTTAGCAATAATTAAACACGCTAATGTTTTTATTCATACCTTTACATTCTACACCACCAGCCACCCCAACCATCCTAGCCCCCAACTTGGCAAACTGGGTTCAGTTCTGGTCACCTTCCTGTTAACCTTTTCCCTTGAAAACTGATTGTTAATTCTCACTCTTTGTTTTTTGTTTCTTAGCCTGTTTGTAACTCACGGCAGTATTCTACCTCTCACCCCAATTCAGTTGCTGTAAGGTTTTTCATGCAACGAAACAAATGCCACTTGTGAATTGTGAATTGAAATTATGAAAGGTTCCTAAAGGGAACTTTAATATTTTTTTTTAAATCTTTTGAAAGAAAGGAACTCATATAAAAACATATTTACAATATAAATTCAGACAATAATGATACAATGAAAATATTAATATTACTCTGCTGTTTTGGAAGCATAACTGTAATAGCTCTGAAGTAGCCCATGAAAGCCTGAATGTGAAACAGAAAATGAGTCTGACTAACTCTGGGAGCACAGCCAACCACTGATTGCAAGTAGTTTAGATCTAAGAGGGAGTTAGGTGCTGAGTGGACATAGTAACATAGTGATTAGAAAAGGAAAGAATTAATAAATACAGAACATTCATAAAATGAACCTTCAAGGTGATGGATAGTGCAAAAAGGAAAGTTCTTGGACCATCAGAATTCCTAGTCATTTACACATTCCAATAAGCGAAAAGATATCATATGGAAAAAGGCAACATGACTTTTAAAACATCCTAGATATTTGCAATATTCACAATATTCCTATTTATAAATGAGGAGGATGAAAGAAACATATTAAATGTAGTTTGACATCTGACCAAAGATATAACACTTTTGCATGTCAACTGATATTCTTGGATGCAAAAAAAGAATTTTGAATTGGATTTCCTATGGCACAGGAACTTGGAACAACATGAAAGTCGAAGTTTTGGAACAGCAGTCAGTCTAGAGATAGAAAGTGGCATCAGTTAACATAGAGTGGCATACATAAAGGAAAAGGAAAATTAGGGGGGAGCCATTTTGTGTTCTTACTCCCAACAGGTATAACTACACTGACAAGATGAAGGAGAATGAGACAAAGCAGAGACTAGCTGAAGCCGTCAGCCCAAGTACTGACATAGAGCCAAGTCGCAAAGGTGACTCATTATGAAGACGTAAACAATCCTAGTCAGTGACTCAGTGGTGAGGAAGCTTGGCTAAGACATCTGTAGCCCATATAAAGAAAACAGGATGATGAGATTTCTCTAGGGTATGGTAAGATAAACTATGGGACAATAATATTGCACGTGCCTATGATAGCCCGTAGAAAGTTGGGACATTCTTACCCTTTATAGCTCATGGAGGAATGTACATATCACCAACAAAGGAAGCTTTGATTGGCATTTGCCTGGGGAATCTGAGAGCAGCTCTGGAAATGGATATAGTGTGAATCTTCTGAGAGTCTGTGGAGGAAGGAAGAGGGTGGGTGATGAATATCATCATGTAGAGAGTGAATTCTGCAGTGCAGAGAATATTACATAGTTTGATCAGTTAATTTGTTATGGCTTAGAATCCAACATCTGGATAGAAGGTCCACCTCCTTTCTGGTTTTAAAAACTTCAGTGTGTGCCCGGCTCAATCTCAGCAAAGCAAAATATGGAAAGAACGTACATTTTCTAGGAGGCATGCTCCGTAGGTGTTGGGGGTGATTTTAAGTGAAAGGTGAATATTATGCACCTGTATACCATTTGAAGAAGCACACTGGACAAGATGAAAACACTATCACTGATAAAAATTAGCTTGGTGACTAAAAAACTTTAAAGAATCATTAGAATAAATAGAGAGCAAACATATGGCATGTTGTTTCAGTTTGCACCAGAAGATAAAGCAGTAGGTGAATATTTTTGAAAAATCACTTACAACCTTTATGAAATATAGGGAAGTGAAAGCCTTCATTTTGCAGTGTGCTAATGAAAAACCAGGGATCAGTGATAGCAGCAAAGCTATAGAGTGGTTCTTGTCATTATTTGTAGACCCAGGCTTGAAGCCAGACTCCATTTTGATAGATGCTGTGGAAATACACAACAGATCAAAGATCCTTAAAGCATTCTGTAATTTACAGATGAACACAACTAAGAGTTTAGCAGCTCTCTGAAGATTAACAAACATACAATATCAAAGGTGTTCTGCAGTAGGCACTGTAATGAGATACCACTTTTAGAGTAGTTTGAGAATTACCGGGTGGTATTCTTTGATTCTAAAGGCTTTTACTTGATTTCTTTCCCTAGACATCTCTCTCTTAGAGGAATACTGCTTCACTTTCCACTACTCTTATTTCTCAAAAAGGTCCCTCACACTATTGCCATTCTACCACAAACACTAACTGATGTTATGTCACAGGCATTGCTTCTGCAGGAGTGGGATTTTGCTGTTGTGTCTGAATTTTGTGGCCACTGTTGAGGGAAGTGTGTGCGTGGCTCATTCCCACACCTGTTTCCTCCCTGTGTTTCACTGCCAGGGAGGTTCCCCGAGGTCTGTGGAGGAGTCTGGGTCAAACCATTTTTCTATAAAACATTTATCTTTATGACCATCTTCCTCTTTACAAACATGAGAGAAATAGAGAGAAAAGATTGTTAGGAAGTGTTTACTGAAGGAAGATAAAACTGCAAGAGATATTTCTCTGCTGAGAGGAGAGCTAGTCTTCGGTTATTCCCTTGTCATAACTCTATTTTTTTTCTGTTCATTAAAATTGGAATATTGTACAGTTTCTAGGGTACTGTTAGGTGAAAAGCTAAAGTTGCATACGATGCCAGGAATTCGTCTCAAGAGATCAGGAAATGTTACCTTCTTGGCTACTACAATGAAACCCGAAACTTTTGTTTTGGAGTTGCACTTTACAGACTTCAATCCTGTTTGGTATTTGGCAAATGTATCAATTTGTCAACTAAGCACCAGACTTCTGCAGCATTTTCTCCCAATGAATGCCTATTAAAACTAATGCAGAGAGGGTAAATCCTTGCTCATTGTGAATAAGTGTACCATAGTTGGGTCCTAAATGAATTGGTAGCTGTATACTTGCAATCCTTCCCAGCTGCTGACAAAGACCTGACTGAGCTGACTAAGCCAGCAAAAAACTGAAGAACTTAAATTCTCAAGAGCTTGAATCATGGAACATAACTTTAAAGAAAAACATTGACTGGGGGTTTTGAAGGAACTAGAGAAATTTTGACTGCTGTTGCTTAATAAATATGCTGTTGTCTGTACTCTTTCTGCCTTTATAGAATATTTGAATTTCTAAATTAGTTTTAATAAGACCTAGACAAAAATCTACTTTTGGAATTGCAATGCATGCTGCAGAGTATTGGTAAAATTCTTTCTACCTTGACTCAGATATGGATTTCAAATGTGGGGGGTTTTGTTGTCAGTTAAACGTTTGGGACAAAATTAATTGGATTAATTTGGCACAGCCGTAAGTTCTCAGCATCTGAGAACAAAATGAATTGGGTTATTTCGGCACAGCCTTAAGCTCTGAGAGCATCCTGCACTGTCTGTTCAGTAGAAAGCATTGTCTGGAATGTTGTTGCTCTAAGCTGCATGGCAAAAGCAAAAGCATCTGACAGGATTCTGATACCTTAGGAAGACTTTTTACTTGTGTTCATCCAGCTGGCAATCAACATTGTACCACCTGCAAGAGAGAAAAACACAATGAATGCTCTCATTCATTTTTCCCCAAATAAAAATCCAACAATCTGAAGAGATAACACTTAGAATAAACTAAAGTCATTTGAACTTTTGCTCCATAACTGAAGAGAGATGTGTTAAGCAATGCAGGAATAGCACTGAAGGAGAAAGGTGGCTCATTAAAAATAATAAGTAACTACCTTAACTCTAGGAGATGTGCTCTTGGTGGTTTGAACTGGTCCCAAACACTGTTTCAGTTGCTTTCTTAATCATAGGAAGCAGTTTTCAATACCGTTTTTCACACTTTTCAATATTATAATTAGGAACAATTATTTCTTTTAAATTCAGGCCCAGGATCTCCAAAGCATCTCAGTGACTTTGCTTTACCATTAGATAGGCTCCCAATGTGCATTATTAACAAATGAGTGTAAATGTCCAAGTTACTTAATCCCTTCTGAAAACCCTATGTTGAATGCACATCTGCCTATTGCTAAAGCAAGAGATGTTCAATTCTCATATACAATAGCATGATATGGAATTTAGATGAGTCACCATGACAGTTCCTCAGGGGACTCAGGCCATGAATAACCCTCAAGAAGTTAAATTAGGTAGCAGTGAGGGAGGACCCTGTAACCCACTCTGTTGCTATGTTTCAAACAACCCAGTGTGTTTCTATGCTTCATGCACATACTCCGTGTTAATACCCTGGGCCAGCTACATATTTCACAGTTAGCATCACAGAGGAAGTGTGGTTACTAATCAGATGTTACTGTCTCTGTCCCTCTTGGGTAGTTAGAAAGAAAGAAAGGAAAGGAAATTTTGTATTGTTAACCCCTCGAAAAATTTAATGTCTGCTTTTAGCAGAGATTTAGTGACAGTACACTAAAAATTATGAAATTATAAACAAATGATAATAAATCAACCCTCCTGAGATTTCAGCTGTGGTCCCTTTATCCACATTGTATTGTAAGGCATCAACTCCTATGCAAAGTTCAATTAACTTGTAATTTTAGGACCAGTTCTCTAATACCACCAATGTTTCTGTCCTTCGGTATGTTCTCATTTGGTCTAACTGTAGAACTCTGTCCAGTTTTCAGGACTGTATCAGTTTAGAGGCTTTTGCACACCTTAAAGCCTTTATGACCAGGAAACTTAATATTCGGAACCCAAATCTTTCACAGATCTTGCAGTCTTTATCAGTTTTTAGCTGATGATCCATTTTACATTGTTTTTATCCATTTTCAACATTTGCAAGGCCATATTTTAAAACACTTCTCTATTTCCTGGCCTGAACACTTGATTTCTTAACCTCAGTTTTGTTCCAATCTATTTTTGAATCTCTTAGCATATTTCAATGATAAATTACTTATGAGATAATATAAAAATGTAGAGTTTTAAAAATATCTACTCATGTGGGTCATAAGGGGCATTTTCTTTTTTGTTTTTAGAGGGAGGTTTGATTTGTGTATTCTATTAACAGCAATTGCCTGAATTACTGTGCTTCTGCCACATATTGGACCTCACATCTCTAGGCTGACACCTGTTATTTTTGCAATAGCCGCTTCTCATGTTCTTTGAAGTCGTGACAGGTGTTGCAAAACATAGAGGGTTTTTATACCATGTTGGCTTAGTTCTTATTAAAACCAGAAAATATCTTTTTTCAATTACTTTTTGTGCTTGAAAAGACCTCCTCTTCCCATGATACAAAAGAAATGGGTATTTGTTTGAGGGTTCATATGTTAAAATTAAGAAGAAGCCAGTTCTAATACAAACACAGAAGTAATGACCCCTACCTTTCTTGTGGTTTATTCCATAACTGAGTTGTTATCATACTGGAACATGAGAAGGGAGTCATTGTGTCTTGGTTGAGAACACTAGTGGACAACAGTCTTTGAGTTAGTAAATATTTTTCATTTCTTTTGCACTGTACAGTTCCTTCAGATCTGTAACCGCTCTTGCAAATTCTCCTTGATTAGTGTGCTGAGCATATCAGGTTCGGCTCGGAAATCTTTCTGTGTTCTTTTCCCTTGGCTTATCTCACTTTCTTTCAAAATCAAATTGGAAAACAAAAGGGAACGAAGTTTTTTAAACTCTATTCCTTCCTTCTCATGATGAATAAAGACTGATTTTCTCTTTCTCTTTTTTTTTTAATAATTATTTTATTTGCTATAGATTTGATAGAAAGAACAGAGTACTAGTTTATGAAGAGGAGTGATATCTGTGGTGTGGAAGAGTATAAGCAAAGGTTTCTTTCTGACAGATCTGAAGCACAAATAACCTAGAGGTTCAAGTCCTTGGCTATAAATTCATAGGCAGATCCTTAGGGACTGAAAGACATATGACTTTTTTCTTTGTGATTTCCTCAGAGTTCTACCCTCAAATCCAGCCTTCTCAGAAGCATGGCCTAATGCTCCCTGGGTGCATTCCCTGGTGCATTTCCCTTGCTTGTAAGTTTTTGAAAAATCATGCCAGATCATGTTGCTATAACATTTTAACGTTGCTCCACTTGGAAATCAATATCTTGCTCCAAACACCAGTTGACAGACACTGGTCTTTCTGTTGAGTTTCCAGTATTAATAATTACTCAGATTTCTGTGATAGGCTTTCAGAATAATTTCAGAGTAATTTCTAGAACAATTGCTTGCCTTGCAACTGCAATTTATATGAAGAGTAATGTTCCAGTTTAGCAAAGGACTTAAGCATATGCTTTAATTTAAGTTTATTCTTTAATTTAAGCTTTTGCTTTATTCTGTATGATCAGAAAATGCTTAAATGCATGTTTACGTACTTTACTGAACTAGGGTTCTTGGTCAGTATTTGAACTGGTAAATTCCAGTATAAACAAAAAAAATTGCAGTGTAGTTTGTTTTGGTAGTACAAAAGCTGTCAGTAAAGTTGTTAAGTGTTCACTGCTTTATTTACTTCTTCCACTTCATTTTATGGCACATATTATAAATGGGGAAGGATATCAGAATAAAAGAAATGCTGGTCTCTTGACCTCATTTCTTTTACAAACATACTCAGTCTATTTTTCTGAATATTGTAACATAGTGCTTGCTGAATAGTTTTGATCTCTTCTCACTGGTGACCAGCGACAGGAGTCAAGGAAATGGCATAAAACTATGTCGGGGCGGTTTAGGTTAGATATTATGAACAGGTCCTTCATCCAGAAGGTGCTTGATCCCTGGAACTGGCTCCCAGGGAAGTGGTCACAGCATGAAGCCTGACGGACTTCAAGAAGCATTTGGCCAATGCTCTCAGGCACATGGTGTGACTCTTGGGGTGTCCTGTGCAGGGCCAGGCTTTGGACTTTGATGATCCTTGTGGGTTATCTATGATGCTATGATATATTTTTAAGGCCACCTCTATTGCTATACATAATTGGTTTGGTTTGGGTTTTTTTTCCAAATATTTGGATGAATTTTAGAAAGATATCATTATTTTCTTCAATTTGATTTCTAAGCATTCTGCATACACAACAGATTTACTGAAAACTCATTTCAGGAACTAGTTGGTAGATTCTTAGCTAGGATATCTGAAGGCTGACCATGCCCCAGCCAATACACTGGACATCTGAGATAAACATGCCTGTGTAACATTTGCGTTGGAGCTAGATTGCAGCCAGCTGGGACCAGAGACACAGAAGAATCAAGGGAACTGCTTGCACCTGTC